AGTGGAGAAAAAAGAAAAAAAATCGTGAAATACACAGGAAATACGAGCCTTTTGCTCTACGCTGCGGAGAAGTTCAAAAGGCCGGCAGGGAGATGAGAGATAATGTGAGCGCGGAGAGCGCTAGAGAAGTCTAAGTAGAGAGAGCATAGCAGATCAACATTGCGACGCAGACAAGATATCGAGCGGTGGGCGGAGCGTGTCGCAACAGGTGGAGCGTGTCAAAGTTCTTAGCGCCTAGCGTCTAAATAACGCTTTTCGAAGTAGGGAAGTGACGCGACCTCTACACTTGCGTACCTAGCGCTTCTAGCCACCGTAAAGGCTCATTAAGTGGGTCTGAGCCCGAACTTTGCCTTTAAGGGTGGTCAACTGTGATAGAATGCTTATTGTTAGTTCCCGGATTGGAACCACGAAAGTTTAAATGAAGAAAGACTCAAAAGCAACAAATTGGTCAGCGTGATCAACTGTAACACGGACAGAGTACGGGAGCACACATTTTTGATCTACCTATGAACTATTGTTTCCGATTATAACATCTTCTGATTGCTTTCTATTGTGCAAGCGGAACCATTGGGCAGATTTTGGCAATCTTACACGTATAGGAAGATAGATGAGGCGACAGCACTTTCTCCTCGGAACTCAACATCTCTTACTGCATCGTTTACAGAAGCAACAGTTATCATTTCTTTCAGCTCCTCTATGGAATTAAACCACCTATGAATTTTTTTTTGAGGGAACAGGACTTACCTGTGTGTCCACGATGCTTTGGAGTATAGGAAATGGTCGTTCAGGGCACTCTCCATTGGGATTGTCAAATGGAAGGCCATGAATGGCCATACCGCCAAGGTTATTCAACGAGCTCCAAGTGGTCTGCAATGAAAAACATCAATGTATTTAACATATTCACACCGACGGCAGCCCATATATCCTGTCAAGGAATTGTGCTTGTGGGGCGATGGCAGCCCATATGGGCTGCCGGCTGATAATCGCTTGCCAGGCGCTATTAATGGAAAGATGAGATTGAGGAGGGAAAATAGGTGGTTAAATCTCGTAATCGAGTTTAAAATGCTTTTAAATTCCTTCACGGGGAAAGTGAATATGCTCTCTTTTCGTAACCACTATTTGTCGTTCTGATCGAAATCCTACTGTTATATGTTTAGATAATCTTTACGCATTGGACATTGCAGAAATTATTTTGTGACATTCATGTTTTTGTTCATTTACAAAACAAAATCTGCGGTTATGTGGTGAGGCGGCGGCGCCCACAAAATCGCGTCCGTCCCACGCGACCGAAAAGTGGAAAAGGGGCGTCGTCGTGAATGTGTTAAGAGAAGAAGTTTGGGATATCACATGAAAAATCCACAAAGACGACGAAGCACTTCGCAAGCTTATTGAAATTTCCACATTAATCATAATTTGTCTCAATACTAGATTTCGGGTTCGCCTGGGTAAGAAAGACAGTAATAGGAAGCTTATAAAACAAGTATTATGAATTTCAAGGGCGGAAGTGGTGTAGTGACAAGTGGCGCGCTTACCACGCGAGCGGTCCGGGGATCAAATCCTGGGTCGTGAGTCGCCCGGGCCAACCAAGCCTTCCATCCCTCCGGGGTCGGTTAATTGGTACCAGACTTGTCTGGGAGGATAAAAAACACTGACTTGAACATCGGCTGGCCCCGCAAGTCATTGTATAGGCCACATCGCATTCAAACGCCACTACGAATGTACAAATGGAAGTAGAATGCGTGCCGCATCCCAAAAGGGATTGATCAACGGCAAATGCTTTATCCTTTATCTTTATTATGATTTCAGCGGGAACTTCCGTTAGCCGGGCTGGAATCCTAGTCAGTCCCCGCGTCCCATAATGGTGTCTGCGCCTCACGTAGCCGTGCTCCATCGCGTCCACGTACGACGTGCTCACTCGCGGCTTGCCTCTCGCCGCAGGGCTGTGTCTCTCCTTCTTACTACGGCCGACCGACATTACAAGGGGTTTTTCTGCGTTTCCCATTCCTCTATATTGTTCTTTGCTTCTTATGCCCACTAGCGTTCCTCATCGCATTTTTTGTCTAATTTTCGAACAAAATAACACACCAATTCGACCTCGATCCTTGCCTTCACAAAGGCTTATACTGTTCATATGTAAAGTCGTGATGTCATATGGTGTGCCTGTGGAAAAGAAAACCGATAGAAACGGGTGAATCCCAAGTACGAGTTCTCCATTTGCCCGTTGATTTCTGGAGTGAACGACTTCACCGCGGATATAAAGGTCATTAGATAAACCACTGGTGTCATGCCAGCGGTCGATAGGCAGTTTTCGATTTTATGGAGGGTGCAACAGGGCACTTAATAAAGAGCATAGAAAGATGGCGGTAACTCCCTTTGTAATACATCATGACCCCTGCAATTTGCCGACGGTCTCGCGTGCGTATCTGAGAATCAGAGGCGCTTCTGAGGCACCTTCGATGCCCTATAATGGCGATGGTAGCGCAACTTTCGCCGCGAAAGCGCCACCTATCGTCTACATGAATACTTCTCTGCCCTCCTACCACTCCTCACTCTCCTTCATGGATATTCGTTCTTCGATCTTTGCCTTCAAATTTGCACTTAGTCAGAATGGTTAACGCATACCTTGATCTTCGCGCTCTTCTCGTTCTCAAAGGCGATGAACTCGGTGCCGCGAACCAGAACGGGAACACTGCTGTCGTCCACCCAACGAGACAAAGTGGTGTTGTCCTCCAGTGCTCGACAGATCTGCAATTCCAAAAGGTTTCGAGTAAGTCAATGTGGCAATACACGATGTGGATGTATTGCACTGGACAAACACTGTATTGAAGGAACCGAAATTTTTTAGCACCGCAGTCAAGCCTATAATGATAGTGGTACGCTGGAACCACACCAATAGGAGTAGGATAACCTGGTAGCAATTCCGCGAACATGCTCAGCGCCACCACCGGGATCAATGAGAAGCGGACCTGTGTTTGTGAAGAGATATCGCTCTTCTGTGTCGACGGAGCAGACAAGTCAACTGGTCGTCCGAACACCTCGCCAGAACCATCCCAAGCGTCCTTCAATGTTGATGACGTCGGAACTGTTGTGACAGATACGATGAGTTTCTCCCTGAAGGCAAAAGCTTTCAAAGTAGAATTTCCCAAAACATTAATGCCATATAAAGATGCGAAAGAGCACGATGAACACGGCGATGGCAAATGATTCAGGCGACATTGACCCGAGCGGTAGGGGCGGTTGAAATCTCCGGCCTAGAACTCATACCTGCAACGAATTCAGAGCTGCATACGATTACTTGTGCATTTTTTCGTCATGTAACAAAAACGTTCAAACGATCGCGGACTCAAGATCATGTGAAAACCGTGATAGCGGATAACGGATCTTTTGAAATTCCCTTGGTTCTTGCCTTTGGCCCATTAATTTTGGACCAAATGACGGATCTATTTACACTTCCATCGAGTCGATCGTTGGTTAAGTTTCGTGGAAGTGAGCTCTAAGTAGGTTAGCAACTGGGGCAGTTAAACTTTTGGGAGGCTGATTCCTTACTGTATCGATACATTATTTCTTCGCGTTTTTCATGGGAATGATTTCGTTAACTATATATAATACTTGCAGTAATTAGAATTCGACCGACACGACATCTCTCGAGGCATCAAACCATTGGAAAAGGCATCAAATTTCACCATACTTTCCCTTCAAGTGGCTCCAACAAATCTCTAACCTTGTGAACCTGTGGACGTGCCTTTTCCCAGGACTGGAAACGGCCGATTTTTTGACAAACACTAATATAATTTTACATACATTTTGTCTTAATTTACATAAGTTTACTATTTGATGGGTGGCTTACCCATGGTTCGCACGTCCCGAGACCCCTTCCCCTAAATATAGCCACATCCTTGCTCGGGGTTGTTGTTTCGCATTTTTCGATAATGTCACCTACAGCTTCCATTCATTCTTTGCACCCTAGTTTTAGAGCGGAAAGGCGGGCTACGAACTTGTCGTCAACGGAAATCTCTTTTTTCGGATGATGAGACTCCGACACCTACTTTAGCCCCGTCTTACCCCTGCTGTTCACATAAGCCTACATAAACCCTACCCTGGGTGGCGGCGTGCGCCACATGGTGGCGCACGCAACAAATACACTGGCCGTCCGTTATGGGTTAAATGAACGTATAAGTAGCCGTTCGCTCTCTCTAAACCATTCTTTTTTCCAATGAAATATCATTGGCGACGGTTTTTTGAACTAAGTACATAAATCAGCGTCCACAAAGTAGTGGTTTATTTCTTCATCTGTTTACTTTCTGTTTACTTACTTCTTATTACTTATAACGGTATACACCAGGCGTGCGGGTCAGTATAAGACTGAGAGAGCAGGAATAGAAGTCTACGCGCGGCGATGGGAAAGCCAGAATGGGTTCAGAGAAAGGTGCCAGGAGGTCTGTGTTTTTGGCCCAGTAAAATATAAGGAAATAATAGAGAAGGATGAA